AACTTGTGTTCCGTGCCATGTCATGCCTGTTGAGTGTTGATTTACTTCATATTAAGAAACTACTGCACTAAAACATTAATTCATAAATGTATATCATATGATTTTATTTCTTTTTCTCAGTATAAATAACACGTGCCCTGACTGTTCTACTCTTTGAATAAAAACACATCATTCAAGCGTAAGGGAGTGCAAGGGGTTATGATGGAGGGGTGTTGCAAATCATGAACACCTGCCAAGTGGTATGATAGCATTGTTTTATACATGTCCTCGGCTAGGCCTCAATTTCAAAATCAGTCCTTGGTCCTTGGCCTTGGCCTTGGAGGCAAGTCCTTGGTCCTTGGCCTTGGCCTTGGAGGCAAGTCCTTGGTCCTTGGCCTTGGCCTCGGAAAATTTTTCAAGTCCTTGGCCTTGGCCTTGCCTCGGAAAATTTTCCAAGTCCTTGGCCTTGGCCTTGACCTCGGAGGCAAGTCCTTGGCCTTGGCCTTGGCCTCAGGTTGCCGGTCCTTGGACACATCCCTGTTGATCTGCCTGTCGATCTCTCACTCCCTCCTGCCCTCATTCGTGAACAAGACCCCAAGATACTTAAACTCCTCCATTTTGGGCAAGATCTTCTGCCCGACCCGGAGTGGGCACTCCACCCTTTTCCGACTGAGGAACATTTTTTCAGATTTGGAGGTGCTGATTTTCATCCCAACCGCTTCACACTCTGCTGCAAAATGCTCCAGTGAGAGTTGGAGATGTTTAAATGCATGCAAGGATTTTTTTTTTTCAAGAATGTGAACGCAATTGAGGTTATCATGTTGGGGTGGCCATTGACAATTGTTCCTTTGGAAAATGAATTGCCCACCCCCTGCAGTGCAATATCTCGGTCTACTTCCATGTGACAAAACAATCTCCTAATCTCATAACGAACAAGCTAACTGAGAGTTGCAAGTTTGTAACTGCATTCGCTCAATTTAGGAATGCATGTGATAAATACGGTCATGGAGAAAGCAAGTGACAGCATGGAAAATAGCAACCTTTGTTAATGTTTTACACATGATTGGGCTACTTACCTGCAGTCTTATGAAGAGGGGTCGAGCATACGTGGGTAGCTCCATCACCACGTGTTGAAAAAATTTGCTCCCATCAAACATGAAGCCTGGTCTTAGAATTATGGCAGCCATCCCAGCTCTTCCCTCCTGCCCTATACATACAGTATAGGCGTATATTTATATTAGAAAAATAAAAAACATTGTTCAGTGTTGGCATATCATTCTTGAGCATCAACGTTTTAGGAAACATTGAAATATTTGTATTTTAATATCATTTATGGCCCAAGAAGTGAACCAGCTGGCTGATTAAATTGTAGCCCTTCTGAAACAGGCAAAAGTCAATGGCAATTTGGCCAATGTTTGCCGACTGTTTTCCCTTTGTGCACTCGAACCATTTACAATGTTGTGCAGATGTAACACGGATCTCATTCTTTACTACACAGAAAACGATACCATAAATCTGCTTTCTTCAATCTCTGTCATGTGAAACAGTTAAATATCGTCATTCTATGGACCTGCCAATCAAAATAAAATAAATTCTTCCAACCAACACTTAGATGAGCATCAAAACCTGTACGAAGGACTTGATCGGGATATCACAATTTGACACACAAGCCAAAGTCACGGTTTATTTAAAAAATAATGAATGAATCAATAATTTTGTGAATGAATAAATAACAAACACATAACATAAATCATCCATCCATTATCCTGTGACAGTTAAAGTTGACACACATTCAACGAACTACTAAGACAAACACAGATTTATGACAAGGATTTTTGTAACTTTAACAATTAAATGCTCTGTATTCTAGCAATCAATTCGCTTTACCATAGATAGGTCGATACGACACATCTGTGCCTTTGGCGACGTTGGCACCATGTTCCATGTTCGTGGACGTCACAACAACCATGCTCTGTATTTGTCAGCACACGCTTTGGTGTTGACAAAAAAGTAAGCGTCATGAAAATTGGTTGCGGAAATGAGCTGGAATGACTTCTTTTCAATGCACAGGCATTTCCTTTATTGGCAATGTTGCCGCCACCAGTGTCACTGAGCTGGGCTGCTACTGCGTGTCGTTATCACGGCAGTTGAAACAACTGCTTTTTTTTAAACAAGCTAATAAACTTGCCGATAAGTGATATGATAGAAAGTGGGCTGCGATTGGCTGGCAACCGGTTCATGGTGGCCCCCGCCGACTGCCCGAAGATGGATGGCATAGGCTCCAGTACCCTCCGCTACCCTTGTGAGGATAAAGCCGATCGGAAAATGGATGGACGGATGGATAGAAAATGGGTCACTGTCTGTTTCTGTACCAGAACTTCAAGTTTGGTCATAGTAGTATTCTCATGAAGCAGTCTTGTGTTTCTTTTCTTTATTTTCTTTATTTACAGCTCAGAACAAGTCGCTACAGTATTCATTCGACATGTCAGATTTCTTCTTCGTGTTGTTTTTTCCATTTTATTCTGTCCATGTCAGTGATGGGCAGGGAGTGGGGGGTAATCCATGTAAGAACATCATATACCGTATTGGCCCGAATATAAGACGGCCCTGATTATAAGACGACCCCCTCTTTTTCAAGACTCAAGTTTGAAAAAAGACTTTTTGAACACCAAATTAATTTTTATACAGAAAATAATGACAGTGCATCTGAAACAAATGATTATAACAATATATTTGAGAGAAAGAGCATGTTATTTTGCCTCATTCAAATCTAAAGTGCAATCACATTCGCAAATGAATGGCGTCTGGTTTTTGAAATGTAAATTACATCATAACTTCTCCTCAGCTGCTGGTTAACCTGGCCGATCATCGACCCACTTTTCTCCAGATTGTCACTACGTTTCTCCATTTTCTGTTATCTCTTCTATTATTTTCTTCTCTTTTCCTTGTTACCGCTATTTTTCATTTTTCTTCTTCGTGCTACCGCTATTTTTATTTTTATTCTTCGTGGCAGGGGTTCACTTTGGCCTGGGGAGTCAAGTTCAGCATTCGCTTCATTGATATCTAGCGTTGTGAATGGGTATAATGTCTAGACCCCGAATATAAGACGACCCCTACTTTTTCAGTCTTATTTCAATGCAAAAAACACTGTCTTATATTCGGGCCAAAATGGTATGCACAAATGTACAATTTTCCAATATAAAGGGAAATTATTTCATGGCTTACATCCATCCGTCCATCCATCCATATTCTGAACCCCTTTATCAAGGGTTGCGAGGGTGTGTGTGTGTGTGTGTGTGTGTGGGGGGGGGGGGGCATGCTGGAGCCTATCCCAGCTGTCTTCGGGCTGTCGGCGGGGGGCCCCCC